TAAATGAAGGAAATAGCCATTAATTTTAAATCACACTTATTTCAATTAAAATTAATTTATATTTTTAGGGATATCTAACTATCAAGTTGAAGAAGATATAGGAAAGTTGAAGTCTTGTCTCAGTGGCTTCCTTCAAGAATATGGTTTATCTGTAATGGTGAAAGATGATTATATTCATGAATTGTAAGTATTTTTTAGGGCCAAAAAAGAGGTACGCCCTGCCTGTGCTAAGGCTACTCTAAATGCATGTCTCTGTTCTTTCGTGCAGTTGCCGATATGGAGCTGCTGAGCCACATACCATTGCTGCATTCTTGGGAGGTGAGTTCTATAGCCAAGAAGACTTATCATCTGTTACATAGTACAGTTTACTATAATAGTTACTATTTTAATAGAAAATTTTGTCTTAGCTATTTTAGCTGCTTTAATTGGGTCAGTGAAATAGGATGTCATTAATATATTGAGGTTGTTCAGTAGCCCCCATACTGGTCTCCCTGCCTTCCGTCTCTCCCACTGCTATCCATCTTAAACTCCTGAAGAGCCATTAATCCTTCTAAAGCATAACTCTGACTGTGTGCCTTGTCTAACTCTCTGCCCACCAATATACATGTACACCCTAAAATGGGCCTCAGAAACCAAGTCCAGGGACGTTGGCTTGACATTGAAGACCTTGTGTTCTGGTAGCACTCAGCTTTTCTAGCCTTGGTCTTATCAACTTACTTGCTTTTCTCCCAGAAATGCACTTTGATTTCCTGTACCTACATCTTTGCTCCTCTGGGTCCATTTGCTTTAGAAACTTCTATTTTCTATGTATCCAAAACCTACCCGTTCTTCAAGACCTTATTAAAAAATGCCATCTTTCATAAAAACTTCCTTTACTTCCCTGCCTTACCTTGCTTCTTCCTTGTGCTGTAACAGAATACCATATACTTATGAACAATAGAAATTTATTTTTCACAGTTCTGGAGGCTGAGATTTTTTTTTTTTTTTTTTTTGAGACGGAGCCTCAAGCTATCCCCCTGGGTAGAGTGCCATGGCATCACGCTCACAGCAACCTCCAACTCCTGGGCTCAAGCGAGTCTCCTGCCTCCGCCTCCCAAGTAGCTGGGACCACAGGCGCCCGCCACAACGCCTGGCCATTTTTTGGTTGCAGCCATCATTGTTGTTTGGCGGGCCCGGGCTGGGGATTCGAACCCGCCACCTTAGGTGTATGTGGCTGGCGCCTTAGCCGCTTGAGCCACAGGCGCCGAGCCGAGGCTGAGATTTTGAGATCAGGGTGCCAGCATGGTCAAGATCTCGTGAGAGCTCATTTCCTGGTTTACCTTCAGACATGCTCTTCTCACTATCTCCTAACCTGGTAGAATAAATGACAATAGAGTGTGTTCTCCCAAATTCATATGTTAAAATCCTACTCTAGGTCATATTCAGTCTAGATTCTAAGAGGAGACAGAGCCAGAGAGGTTGGATGACTGCATGACTTGCCTATAGAAAAAAAAGAAGAAATTAAAGGGCTTTTTACTTCATTTTTTACAGTACCATTATATCCCCTCACTTTAGGCTCCGTTTAAATGTTCTGTTTTCTGTAAGGCCATCCTTGACTCCCCTATTTAAAACTGAGCCCCTCGTCTTATTTTTTTTTTTCCCTGCAGTTTTTGGCCAGGCTGGGTTTGAACCCGCCACCTCCAGCATATGGGGCCAGCGCCCTACTCCTTTGACCCACAGGTGCCGCCCGGAGCCCCTCATCTTTTGCACTTACGTCCCCATTACTTGCCTTTTCTCCTTAGCACTAATGGACAATTGATATACTATACATTTTATTTATTTGTAAATTATCTCTCTCATTGTTAAAAGTAGCATGAGAGCAAGCAGATTTTCTATATCTCTAGTGCTAAAACAATATCTGATGTGTAGTAGTCTCAAATTTTGTTAATGAGTATTTGGGAAAGAGGAAGGTTCAGATTATAAAAGATGCAGAACTTTTTTTTTGGTAATTTTTTGCTTTTATTTTTTCTTGAGTAAGTTTAGCAGTCTAGCAGTATTTAATATAGATCCTTTTAAGTTATAAATATATTTATATACTTCTACTTTATTATAAAAGTAAAACAGACATAAGGTAAAATTCAAATGTAGCGAAAAGGTGTCATTTGAGAATCTCTTATGCCAATGTGTATCCTTTAACAAGTTTGACCAATCATGCTATTTAGATTTCCTTTAGTAACATAGAGAATTATAGTCTTTTATTTTTGATCACCTCAGGAAAGGTACTGTGTCTGGTTTGGATCACTTTCAAACACCTTTGCTTTTGGCAAGAAAAGATTTCTTCATTGAACTGTTTTTATATAACTCTTGAAATTTACTCTTTTCAAAGATTTGCTTTTCTCTTTTTTTCCTTGCAGGAGCTGCTGCTCAAGAGGTTATCAAAATAATCACCAAACAATTTGTAATTTTTAATAATACTTACATTTATAGTGGCATGTCACAAACTTCTGCAACTTTCCAGTTGTAGAGTAAGCACCCTATGTAGCTTATTTTTTGAAAATGTACTTCTTGTCTTAGCATGTAAAATTCTGCTGACGGAGAGCTGCTAAATTGTTTCCTGAATAAACATTTTTCTCATTTGTATAATAATAAGGCAGTATTGTTCTTAAAGGAGGAGGGTAAGGGAAGCAGCCATTTTTCCAGAGAATAAAAGCCATCAGTTTCTTATGGAGTTCATTAATACTGGCTTGCTACTTCAAAGTTACTAATCATAGATTTATCTTATGTTTCATGAGAAATAATTTATTTTTTTCTTACCATCTTAATGAATTTAAGCCATGTTTAGATTTTGGCTATGAACATTTTAGAACCATCATTATTTGTTAAAAGGAATATAATTTAAAAAGATAAGCTGGGGGCAGTGGCTCAGGCCTGTAATCCTAGCACTCTGGGAGGCTGAGGTTGGATCATTTTGAGCTCAGGAGTTTGAGACCAGCCTGAGCAATATTGAGACCCCCATCTCTACTACAAATAGAAAAACTGAGGCAAGAGGATCACTTGAGTCCAAGAACTTGAGGTTGCCGTGAACTATAATGCCACTGCACCCTAGTTAGGACTCCAGAGTTAAACTGTGTCTTGAAAAAAAAAAAAAAGAAAAAGACAGGCTGGGGATGTGGGGTCAGCCTGTAATCCTAGCAATCCCAAAGGCCAAGGCAGGAGGAGCCCTTGAACTCAGGAGTTTGAGACCAACTTAAGCAAGAGTGAGACCCCATCTCTACTAAAAATAGAAAAATTAGTCTGGAGTGGTGGCCCATACTACTCACTACTGGGGAGGATGAGGCAGGATTGCTTGAACCCAGGAGTTTGAGGTTGTTGTGAGCTATGACACCAGGGCATTCCACCCAGGACAACAGAGTGAGACTCTCTTAAAATAATAATTTAAAAAGACAAATATATTTGGATGTATAGTTTTACCAGAAATAAGACCATATACGCTTGTATGTGGTATTAACTTAGGTTTTGCTGTCTACATCTACTTCATGTTTTATGGGGTCATTCCATCCATATTCTTAAATTTCATTTTAAGAATAATCACATGGGACTAAATAGCATTCATTAGCACATCAGAGGGCAACAAAACCTAAGATGGAAACCCAGAAGTGGGCAGTTTCGAGTTGCATGCCTCAGTACATTAAGGCCCCTCAGCTGGCTACAGGTCAGTCTCTGAAGCCAGTGTCTCCTGAGAACCTGCTACGTTTGCCAAGAGGGTGCCTCACTGGGATTTGGATTTCCTGGAGCCTAACGAGTCAAGCTCTTGCCTCCTCGGCTGCTCTTCCTGCAGGAACCGACTTTTCCCACAGCAAGCCATAGCCCTCTGACGCTACGTTTCCTCTCCCAGCATTCTTGTGGGGTGCACTGAAAGGTGGCACGGGACCAGACCACGAAGACAAGGCCAGGCCTGGGCCCCACTTGACGCCCAGGAGCCCTGGTCCTTTGGTTTGGGCAGGCAGAAGTGCTCCTGGGGGAACTGAGGCTGCTGCTGTGGAGGCCTCGGCTGCGTCTGTGGGGTCGGGGTGGCCAGCTGTGGGAGGCCTTGGGCAAAGGACAGGTGTCAATACGGAGGAGAGATTGGGAGAGAGGAGCCTCCCAGCCACGGTCCCGCAGCCAAGGCCTCGTCAACCTCCAGGACAAACTCTCCTAACTCTGGCTAACACCGTGGGAGCAAAAAGAGCCTCAAACCCCGGGGGCGGTGAGATTATGGGATTTCCCCTCACAGACTTGCTACCACTAGGCCTTTGCGAAAGGAAACTTAGGGGGACCAGCAGCCCCTCTTGAGACCCACGTGGGGGCGGGTAGTCTCGCCGGAAGTCCCGCCCCACGGAAGTGCGCCCCGGCGGCTGGGCGGGAAATTCTGTCAGGCATTTTAGGTGAGCGAAGAAAGCAAGCGAGGGCGACTGGCCTGGGGCGTTGTGGCTTGAGGGTAAAGGCCAAGGCCTCTGCTTCCACGCGTTCGGGCCCTGCCTTAGCTTAGCCTGGGAACTCCTACTATTGCCTTCTGTGGAAGGCGGGTTGCGGTTGGCCTGCCCTGGTCCGCCCTCAGAGGCTGGAATGCCTGACCACCCTGCTGGCCCTTAACTTCTTCACCTGAGGGGATGGGTTGAGCTGGGGCAACAGGCCCTTCCTGAGCAGGTACCAGACCCCAGTGCAGTCCCCACTGGCCTTGGTGGAGAGAGAATTGCCATGTGCCGTTTAGTCAGGTGTCAATGACCTGGCAGCTTTCAACCCCCTGCCCTTGTGAATCCCCAGGCGCCTCCCCCAGGTGATTCTGCTGAGTGGAAGGGGCGGGAACGACAGGTGCGATTGTTTCTCAGGCCTGGGACTGGCCCACGGATCCGGATCCGACCTCCCCCGTGCTGGGAAGGCCTGGTAAGTCAGCGGCTGGTGGCTCTGGCCCACTGCGGCCACCGAGTCTCGCGGGCCACTGGAAAGGCCCGCGCCTTTAACAGGCGCCCGGCCCCTCACAGGACTTGACAGCCCTGGTTGAGAAGAGTCTGGAGGGACCACCCAAGCCCTTCAGGAGGAGTTCTTCCTGCCCTTTAGGTGAGCCATGCCTCGCTGCGACTGAGCAGAAGGGAACGGAGGGAGCAGGGCGGAGTTGGCCACCGCTCCTGGGACGAGGCGATGAGCCCTTAGGCTCCGAGCTACCGAATCTGGGGGTGGTTAAGATGGCAGGGCCAACTGACCCCCGATACCTTTTAGCGTGTTTTCTGAGACCTGAATGACTCTTACTTCCCAATCCACTTAAACTATTGTAACAAAATAATTTACCCTTTCTCCCTGGTCTTTCCTTCAGAGCAGCAGTCCCCAACCTTTTTGGCACCAGGACTGGTTCCATGGAAGGCAATTTTTCCGGGGGTGGGGGTGCTTAGAGTCTCCCAAGGATCGTGCACCTCTCTGTGCCAATTCACAGAAGGGTCTGCGCTCCTAGGACGATCTAATGCCTGGTGATCAGACAGGAGGCAGAGCTGGGGGTGATGCCTGCCATTGGGGAGCGGCTGTAAAAACAGATGAATTTTAGCCGGTCCCTGCTCACCTCCTCCTGTGCACGCAGTTTCTAACAGGTCACTGGCTCGTACTGGTCTCCCGGGGGTGAGGGACTGCAGCTATTTATTTGAGACAGAGTCTCACTTTCTTGACAGCCCTAGAGTGCCACAGCATCATAGCTCCAACTCTTGGGCTCAAGTGATTCTCTCGCCTCAGCTTCCTGAAGTAACTGGGACTACAGGCACCCACCACAACATCCTGCTATTTTTAGAGAGGAGGTCTCGCTCTGGCTCAGGCTGGTCTTGAACTCATGAGCTCAGGCAATCCACGCCTGGGTCTCCCAGAGTGCTATGATTACAGGTGTCAGCCACCGTGCCCAGCCTGGGACTGCAGCTTTTTTTTTTTTTTTTGAGACGGAGCCTCAAGCTATGCCCCTGGGTAGAGTGCCATGGCTTTACAGCTCAGAGCAATCTCCAACTCCTGGGCTCAAGCGAGTCTCCTGCCTCTGCCTCCCAAGTAGCTGGGACTACAGGCGCTCGCCACAACGCCTGGCCATTTTTTGGTTGCAGCCATCATTGTTGTTTGGTGGGCCCTGGCTGGGGATTCGAACCCGCCACCTTAGGTGTATGTGGCTGGTGCCTTAGCCGCTTGAGCCACAGGCGCCAAGCCGGGACTGCAGCTTTAAAGGACATTTTCCACTGTATAGAATTACAGGCTGGGTATATACTCTTAGCACTGTAGTGGTGGCAAGAATTATTTGTGGGATTTTCAGCCCTGTCAGCCTTACACAGAAAGATGCTGTTTATCTTTCTGCTCCTTTGGGGAAATAGTTAAATTTCAAAAAGCTCTTGATGTTAATGTTTTCTAGGTCAGGTGAAAGAGTACTGTTCAGCTAGTTTTCTTACTGAAATTTGAATTTGGGTTAACAGTACCGTTTTGGGGAGTAGATGAAGTGAAACCTGTGAGTGAGATAGGCTCTTTTGGTTATCTGGAAAAATTCTTTTCTTTTTTCCTGTGGGAGCACAGTAAAGAATTTTCAAATCTCAGTGATTGTGATAATTTGCATCTCTTCACTGAATATTACTGAAAATATTTCATAATCTGATTTATCTGGAAGATACATTTGTGGGAATAGACTATACTTATAATTTAAAATGTAGCTTTATAATTATCAGACCCTGGAAAGTTATAACTTGTCCTTTGTTGTGGATTTTTATTTTTTCACATTTTATACACTTATAGTGTAGCTTTTGAGTAAGTCCTATGACAGTGAATGGAACTGGGAGAATGAAATGCTTTCTCACATTCCTTACATTGATATGGTTTCTCTTCAATGTGAGTTCTTTCATGTATTCAAGGGCAACTGCGACAAGTAAAGGCTTTACTATATTGACTACATTTATAAGGATCTTTGTTCAGTGAGTCCTTTCATGTCTTAGAAGGGAAGGGGACCAACAGAATGCTTTCCCACATTCCTTACATTTATACAGCTCTCCAGTGTGAGTTCTTCCATGATTTCAAAAGGAATAACTACAATTATAGGCTTTTCCAGATTTACATTTATAGGGTTTCTCATCACTGTGAGTTCTTCCATGAAATGAACTGTGAGAACCAAAGCTTTTCCCACATATTGTACATTTATGGAGTCCATCTCCAGTGGGTGTTATCATGTATCTTTGAAAGCATGTACAATCAGATAATGCTTTCCCACACTGCTTAATTTATAGGGTTTATTTCCAGTGTGAGTTCTTTCTTGTCTTCAAAATGAACTGGGAGAATCAAAGCCCTTCCCACATACATTACATTTATGAGGTCTGTCTCCAGTATGTGTTATCATGTGTCTTTGAAAGACTTGGAGATGATAAATATGGTTTCTCTTTGGCTGGGTACAGTGGCTCATGCCCATAATCCTAGTACTCTGGGAGCCTGAGGCAGGTGGATTGCTGGAGCTCACAAGTTCAAGACCAGCCTGAGCAAGAGAGAGACCCCGTCTCTGAAAAATAGCCGGGCATTGTGACGGGTGCCTGTATTCCCAGCTATTCAGGAGGCTAAGGCAAGAGAATCACTTGAGCCCAAGAAATTGAAGTTGGCTGTGAAGTGAGGCTGTGTCTCCAAAAAAAAAAAAAGATATCTCTTCTGTATGAGTCTTTTCATGTATGTGAAATAAACTAGGCAAATCAAAGTCTTTACCACATACCTTATATTTATAAGGTATACCTCCATTGTGTGCTACCATCTGTTTTTGAAGGTTTCTAAGACAAATGAAGGATTTGCCACATTCTTTTCAATAATGGAGTTTCTCTTCCTTATGAGGCTTTTCATGTATTCAGAATGCATGATAATAACTGAAGGCTTTCCCATACTGTGTATGTGTATATTGTTTCTCTCCATATTCCTCTTTTTTTTTTTTTTCCAGACAGTTCACTCTGTTGCCCTGGATAGAGAGAGCTGGGATATCATAGCTCACAGCAACCTCAAAGTCTAGGGCTCAAGAGATCCTCATGCCTCAGCCTCCTGAGTAGCTGGGACTGCAGGTGTGCACTACCATGCCCACGCCCAGCTAGGTTTTTTTTTTTAATTTTTTTTCTGATTTTAGTAGAGATGGTGTCTACCTCTTGCTCAGGCTGGTCTCAAATTCTTGAGCTCTAGCAATCCACCGCCTTGGCCTTCATAGGAGTACAGGCATGAGCCACCACACCCAGCCTTCCATATTCCTGATATACACATGGTTTCTGTACCAAATTAGTTGCTCTGATGTGCTTATTAAGGGATGAATGACCAATATAGACTTCTCCACACACACAGTTTTCACATAGATTTTTGCTCCAGGAATTTTCTTGTTCACAATATTATCTGAACTCCAGCTAAAGGTTTCTCCACCTTGATCACCTTGCTTTCACAAAATCTCTCTACCATATGACAGCTATACAGTCCAGGTTCCATGCATCATATATCTGAAGGTTTCATGCATCATATATCTGTAGAGATTGCTCTGTGACCAACCTAGCAATTTGCTCTACTCCAGGGTGAAGTTCACAGCCACATCTTCAAAGGCCCCTGAAGTCATTTCTCAGCTTCTGCAGGACCCTCAGCACCAGCAGCACTTGCTGTGGATTCTAAAAATACAAGCCATTAGTATAAGATGACTTGTATTAATGCTACCAGTACTTGGCAAACTATCTTATTGTGGAAAGTAATCATTTTTTAGAAGAGAGTATTAAAAAGGAGGAAACAAAGGTAGTGTGCATTGTCAGTTCAATTTCAAGACATTTAAATTTAAAAGGTATCTATTTTTCTTTTAAAAATTACATTAAAAGCAGAATAGATTGACCAGTTAAAATTAAGGAAATAGTCCTTAAGCTCCCCCACAAAGCAAAAAAACACCCACATATGATTCAATTGTCCATTATTTATTTTTTTTTTT